GGATACGTGGACACAGATTTAGCACGTAACACATCAGACAAATGTCAAGCGCTGTTAATCTGTAAATTAAAGTCCATACGAAACATCCAAACTGCTTACTGTACTGTGAGTGCGCGGGCTGGGTCGGGGCGGGCACAGATATTATTGTATTCTTGTCAGAGAGAAAGCTCTCATGTGCAAGAGCTCCCCATTACACAAAAATGTAGGAAATATGTAAGGTTTGGGTTAGGTTCGGAAAGTAGGCTTCGTGTCGTGCGCAAACTCGGGCCACTTAAGTGATGTAAATGTCCGGGTTTTCATTACCGTTCATTGGGCCATTAAACTGAGCGTCTCTCGTAGCTCTCTGTGACTCAGACGGAGCGAGCAGACACAAACAGTCGGTCAGTCTGCAACATAACGTCCTGGTCGGGACAAGTGGGAGCCATGTGCACAGGTTGTGAGGTGAGAGTACAGTGGTCCCTCGTTTATCGCGGGAGTTACGTTCTAAAAATAACCCGCGATAGGTAAAATCCACAAAGTAGTCAACTTTATATTTTACAATTAATATATCTGTTTTAAGGCTGTAAAACCCCTCACCACACACTTTATACCCTTTTTTCAGACGACAGTTAACCCTTTTTGCATCCTTCTTAAAACTTAATGCTGCTGTCATCCTTATGTTATTTTCCTCCTTTATGTAACGAACTGAAAATTCATTAACCCTAACCCTAAACCAGAACTGAAACAGGACTCACTGTTGGGACGGGCTCGGAGGTGATCGCAGGAGAAAGGACCGATGTAGAGCTCCTCACCTCACGGAGGTAAACGTGGCAATTGCTCGATTGCGCTTTGCGGACAAACTGCTCGGCGTTCTCTCTCTTAAATCCAAGATTAGTCCTGAATTAGACCTGGTTTTGTCCTGACCCACTTGTGTGTAAAAAAAAAAAAAAAAACATGCAAAACTGACACACATAAAAAAAGAAAAAGAAAAGAAAAGAAAAAAGAAAGAAAAGGAAAAAAATTAATAAATCCGCGAAATGGCGAGACCGCGAAAAGTGAACCGTGATATAGCGAGGGGCGACTGTAGCTCAATGTTGAGGCTTCACCTCCCACCCCGTAAGGTGTCCGGGTTTTCACAAATGGAAATATGGTCACCCTAGTAAAGACAAACTTAAAAGTGTTAAAATTGCATTTACTCCCAGTGCTTCATTAAACCAAAAAATCTCCTGTGCTCCGTCCGAGGGAAGAGTTTTCTTTCAGGTCGGGTCATTATTTCGTCCTCTGTGTTGGGTCACAGACTGTTCTATAGGAGTCTATGGTCGCAGTGTGGACTGTGGGAGACCCTGCGCTACACCGGGAACGTGGGCGCGCTCGTGCACGAGTTTCAAATGTATAATATTGTGGAGAATAATGAGTGGAATAAACAGCCCTTCTCTGTACCAAACACTTAAAATGCACAAATCTGAAGGTAATACTTTTATATATGTGGATTTTCTGATGAATTCCTGATCAAACTCTTCCTCAAACTGTCCTCACTTCTAGCTTCTGTCCACGAGTGTCGCTTTTCCCCTGTGCCTCCAGATTTTCCGTAGTGCTTACAGGAGGTCCCGAGTGAGTTGGCATAGAGTTAAGCAAAGCGCCACGCTTAAGTCGAGTTTCATAAATACCGCTGTTGGCGTAGAGAGCGCGTACGCAAGGATTTGTGCGTAAGCGAGTTTTATAAATGAGGCCCTTGGTCGGGACTAGACTGAGACTAACTATCAACATCATTTCAGCTTTGTCTTGAAGAATGTCTAAAGAAACACTCCGGTCAAAATTTTCACAATAGGCACTCACACACACCTATGTTAGAACACCTGTCTCTGATACATGTGTCGGTGGACACTACACTCATGAAAAAGGCACAAACCATATAAAAGCCCATGGCCATTATTTCATTAAAATGATCTTGCACATGTGGCTGTTGTGAGAGCCAGTCCACTGAGGATGAACTGGTTTTCGTTGGTTATCGTTTCAAAGGCTACAACACAATCTTCGCTTCCGTGTCTTGATGTGACACCTAACCAGACATGTTATCTTGTGACATCCACTTTGGACAATTTACCACTGTTATGGAGTAAGAAAGCTGTCAAAAATATTTGTGCGCGTAAAATAGAAATCCGTGCGTATTTGGGAAATCCGTGCATATTTGGCTGTAGTTGCGCATAAAATAAATATTTGTAAACTCTCAAATGACTCCAGTCGTACATAAAATATATTGTGTGTATTTTATCCATCAGAATACGAATTGAAAAATTACGACGTCATGAATTACAATCACGAAATGAAAATTTACGATTACGCTTTCATCAGTACGAATACGAATTCACAGACGGAACTTTACAGACAAAAATACGTCATCACTTCACAGACATTATCCATCGAGCAGAAGAAACATCGATCAAGATCAAGACTGCGCATGCTCAGGTTTGTAGCAGAGGGTAAAAAGAGTAATAGCACAAGAAGCTACAACAGCGACCAACAAGTGGGTTAATTAAAATCTATTGTAAAAATGTCTTGAATTCGGGAACCCAACGCTGCTGTATAATATTGTGTAGAAACACCTCCTTTGAACGGGAAATTGCACCTATATGTTAGATAACATAGTGGTAGCCAGTTGGCTAACATCCGACGTAACGTTATCCCAGGGCTTATTAGCAAATATCAGGTTCTCTGTATGTTTAGATTAAAACATCAGTCAGTCTTCACTTCAGCTGCATTTCTTGCATGAAATGCCACCAAAAGTTCCTCGGGACGCTGAAATGTCCCAGTTTACTCCAGACACTACCAAACTGTCCTGGTTACGACGTCACAGCCAGTGAAATGTTACACATTACAGTTTAATGCAGCTTCCAGCATCAATTAATGTTCGTGTTTACAGGCAACACCTTGGTATGTTTACAGTATTTACCGGTAAGTATAACGTCACCGTGACGTGGATGGATTTGCTAATTATAACCTATTATAACTCATGTATAACCCATTGTCTGAAATGCATCTGAGGTGAAGGTTAAGACTGCTCGCTGTGGCTGTAGCTGTGAATGTTTTAATCTAAACCTACAGAGAACCTGATATTTGTTAATTAGCCCTGGGATAACGTTACGTCGTATGTTAGCCAACTGGCTACCACTATGTTATCTAACATATAGGTGCAATTTCCCGTTCAAAGGAGGTGTTTCTACACAATATTATACAGCAGCGTTCGGTTCCCGAATTCAAAACATTTTTACAATAGATTTTAATTAACCCAATTGTTGGTCGCTGTTGTAGCTTCTTGTGCTATTACTCTGTGTTTCCCCTCTGCTACAAACCTGAGCATGCGCAGTCTTGATCTTGATCGATGTTTCTTCTGCTCGATGGATAATGTCTGTGAAGTGATGATGTATTTTTGACAGTAAAGTTCCGTCTGTGAATTCGTATTCGTACTGATGAAAGCGTAATCGTAAATTTTCATTTCGTGATTGTAATTCATGACGTCGTAATTTTTTAATTCGTATTCTGATGGATAAAATACACACAATATATTTTATGTACGACTGGAGTCATTTGAGAGTTTACAAATATTTATTTTATGCGCAACTACAGCCAAATATGCCCCGATTTCCCAAATACGCACGGATTTCTATTTTACGCGCACGAATATTTATGACAGCTTTCTTACTCCATACACTGTTATTAACACTGTTGGGCAAGTTACGTTGAAACTGTAATGCGTTATTTATTACCTATTACTGTCATTTCAAAGTAATTCGTTACATTACAATATTACTGCATTTAAAATGTAAGGCATTACATTACTATTGCAAGTTACTCTCACCAAAATAACTTTTGCACTGTATATGGACTGAACCAGGACTAAACCAGGTCTAAACCAGGACTAAACCAGAAGTGAACTAGGACTAAAACAGGACTCACTGTAGGGACGGGCTCGAAGGTGACCGCAGGAGAAAGGAGCGGCTCTGCTCCGCACCTCACGGAGGAAGAGCGGCTGTCACCCGATCGCTCTTTATGGACACCCTGCTGCTCGGGCTCGCGGCCCTGATTTCAGCAACTATTTGCAGGTACCCGAGCCGGTGCAAGAGTCTGTTACAGCGCGTAACTTCTACCTTCCTTCAGCGTGTCCAGAAGTCCAACTTTTTGTGTGATGTTAGCATCTTCCTCTGCCTTTTGGGTGCGAGTGCAGGAGCCTTTGTCGGTGCAGAACGTTTCGTCGACGTTGTGGGTTTCGTCGGGGAGAAAACTTGCAACCGTACAGCACTTCACAATCACACTGCTAGAGACTGAACATGTATTTAAATTTGGCAGCTGAACACATTCTGTACTGTACTGTAAAGGAGACAGGAGTCCCTTGGCCAGTCAGGACGCAGCGGGAGGAACGCAATACGCATTCACACAATGTAAAAAAAAAAGGGCATGCAAATTTGCACACAAAAAAAAAAAAATCTGCGAAATAGCGAGACCGCGAAAAGTGAACTGCGATAGAGGGAGGGACGAGTGTAAACCAGGTCTAAACCAGAACTGACCCAGGTCTAAACCAAGTCTAAACAGCGTGGAGTTCTTTGTCAGTCCTTTCGCCCGCGGTTACCTGAAGGTCTATGAGGGCGCATCTCCGGTGTTTCACCGCTGCTGATATCGAGGTGATTTTAGCGAATTTGTATGAAGAAAAACCCACCACTTCAATCCAGGTTTAAAAAAACAACAACATTGTAACGCGCGTTACTCACATTTGTACCGAGTAAAATATTACTATTTTTTCCCTTGTAATGCCTTACATTATTGCGTTACAGCAAAAAGTAACGCATTACTGTAATTTGTTACTTTTATAACGCGTTACTCCCAACACTGGTTATTAAAAGTTTGATTGTGCAGTGTCATTTTGAGCATTGCATTGCGCTTTATGGGACCATTCTTTCTGGGTCTGAGTTACATAGGGGGCGTGTCTTAGTCAGTTGTTGTTATAAATCCATTTCACGGTTGTGTAATCTGTGTTTGGTCTGTTTGGGAAGTGGTTGGACACGGAGCTCAAACGACACTCAGAGATGGAGGCATTGTACCAGGTGCTCGGGCTGGAGTGGTTAGATTATAGGAGCATTTTGATATTTCTATTCCTTTTTGCCCTTTTTGCCGATATTGTGAAATACTGGCGGCCTGAAGACTATCCTCCTGGACCGTGGCCGATTCCTTTTATTGGAGACATACCCCGCATTAAACCTTCAACAATTCACCTGGATTTCGCACAGGTACGTAGTCGCATACGACGATAGGTTGTGACGTAATAACAACGTGTTTCTTGCGCCACTTCGTTTTTTCAGTTTCCTGACTAACAAGATTTTATTCATAATTTTGTTGGCCAAATCTAAACTCTAATTTCATTACCTCCAAATAAAAACTCAAATGTTTACTTTTAGCCCACAGTTAGGCTTGCCTGGCCAGCTTGTCCTACAGTCTCGTAAAGTTTTAAAGGTTTACTACTTCATTTTCCCATTGAGGCTCGTATGTTTTGCTACACCTTGAAAGGATCTATTCTGCTTTATTGTTTTCATGTATATAGAATTTAATGGTACAGCCTTCTGTAGAGCATTTCAGGCAAAGAACTCTCCGTGGAGAACAGCAGGTTACAAAAAGTTGCATTCTGCAGCTTATGAGGTTCAACATTTATGCATTTATCTTTTTTATTACATTGTACTTAGCCATGAAATCAATAAGAAAATTTGGTTCTTGCCTCATCACAGTAAACAAAAGACTGACTATATAAACTAAACTAATCTATATAAACTAAATTAATATTCAAAAGTCATACAGACTTTTAAAATTAATTTAAACACAGTTTATATAGACATTTAGTTTAATCTAGTCAGGTTGATAGTTATAAAAAAGAAGCTAAAATGTCAATGTAATCAATGTTAAATTGCAATGCCCTCTGTTTGCTCAGTTTGCAAAGAAGTATGGGAACATCTTCAGCCTTCGTTTGTTTGGGGGGAACATGGTTGTCATAAACGGATACAAACTTGTGAAAGAGGCTCTGGCGGTCAGAGGAGAGGACTATATCGACCGGCCCACCTTACCTATTTTCGAAGACCTGATTGGGAATTCAGGTGTGTTTTAAGGTTAAGGTTTACATATTGTATTACTTTACCATCTTTTATAATGTTTTTGTGTATTCATGCAGGTCTTGTGGTATCCAATGGCTACTTATGGAAGCAGCAGAGACGGTTTGCTCTTCACACTCTCAGAAACTTCGGTCTGGGCAAAAAGTCTCTGGAACCTGCCATTCAACAGGAGTGCCAGTATCTGGCAGAGGCTTTAGAGCAACAGAAAGGTACAGCTGTTTATATTTTAATTTCACTAGGAAAATGCTAAAGATTTGAGGAAAACAATAAATAAATCATATTGTATAAAACATACTGTGTTATTTGGTACATCACTTAGTGACATGCACAATTATGCATACATTTTATACTCTATAAAGGGGCACTAACTTTTTCTGATGGAGGGGTTAGCCAAAGTATGACAATAGTCTGTAATAATCTGTGTTATACAATAATCAAAGACTCAGTCAAACTCTTAGAGCTTCAAGGATCTTTTTGAATCTCACCCAATTCCAAGGTAAACTTAAAATGGTCATTGCTTTGTTTAATGTTTATTTGTCTTTGTTACAGGTGAACCTTTTAACCCTCGCATATTTTTAAACAAGGCTGTGTCAAATATCATCTGCTGTTTGGTGTTTGGGGAACGTTTGGAGTACAACAACAAGGAGCATCAGAAGATTTTGATTGATTTCAAAGAGCTTGTGGAAGTAGAAGGCAGTGTGTGGGTCCAGGTCAGTTTTCAATCCCATTCATTTTTTCACTCTCCAGGTTAAAGAGAGGGTATTATTTACACTCTGAGTCTCCCCCTCCTTTGGTTCCTTCAGCAAGTCACTCTCCCTTCTTAGAAATCAGAATGTATCCCACTAATGAAACTACTGCACATCGCAACAGGTTTGTCAAGTTGCTGTGTACAGTTTTGTATCATGTTTTTGTGTATTTATGACGAATTGTCATGTAGGAGTGTGGGTGCATAATACTCCCTTTTAAACAAAGAAATAAAGTTACGTTGTTTTCCGTAAATATGTTTATTAGATATTTGAATGGTGTGTTAAGTGTAAAATGTTTTACCAAACAACATTACAACAATAATAATTACACAATCACACTTGTACTTCTCCTGATAGATCTACAATGTCGCCCCCTGGCTGATGAAGAGGCTCCCTGGACCTCAACAAAGAATTTTCACTCTGACTCAAAACATAATCAACTACGTTCAAGTTAAGATTGACAAACACAGAGAAACCCACGACCCATCCAACCCACGAGACTATATCGACTGCTTCCTCTCAGAAATAGCTGAGGTAGGTGAGCTGTCAGCTCCACCCACATGTGAAGAGGGTTTGGAAGGTGAAGTGTCTAAGATGTGGTTTTGTTAATCATTAGTCCAGATTTAGGGCATTTTTCATTAAATTACAAAATTTGGATCATTGTTAACAAAATTTCAATGCTTGACACATCAAAATTATGTAATCTTTAAAGAACTTTGGTCTATATACATTTCTTATAATGCCCTTGCCTATACTGAAGTAGTAGTATATGCTGTGTAAATTTCATTCGTAGAAAGAAGACAAAGAGGCTGGGTTTGATCTGAAGAATTTAAGCATTTCCGCCATGGATTTGTTTGTTGCTGGCACAGAGACCACCACAACAACACTGACCTGGGCATTGCTGTTTGTGACTTACCACCCCCACATCCAAAGTGGGTTTGATATCTTAAACTTGTTACTCAGAGCTGCATATTATTAGATCAAATATAGAAACTCAGTCACAATTGTGTTTTGTTAACTCCGACTGCACTTTTGTATTCTCCCGCACTGCCTTTCTATCATTGAATTTGTCATTTCTTAAAGAGGGAGTATTACCTTTTTTAATTGCTAACACATAACATATTTAGATCACCATGTTAGCTTTTATACTCTAATTACAAGAAACAACGTATTAACAAGTTTCATGTTTGTCGACTCTCTCTTTACTCTCCATGCTCTCTTTCTAAAACCTCTTCAACATGTTTTTGATGAGGGAATAACATGGTAGAAAGCTCCAAAAAATATTTAGCATAATAAGCCATCTTTAAAAAAAAAAAAAAAAAAAAAAAAAGTGAAACCAAAATAATGATTAGTTTCTCTCTGTTTCAGAGAAGGTCCAGGCTGAGATTGATGCTGTGGTGGGCTCGTCTCGCCTGCCCTCGCTGCAGGACAGAGACGATCTGCACTACACCAATGCAGTGATCCATGAGGTGCAGAGGATGGGGAACATAATTCCTCTCAATGTGGTGCACATGACCACCAAAAACACCACTCTGGAGAATTACACCATACCCAAAGTGCGCTCTGCAATACTTCAATGCCTCATGCTGTTTGAAGAAATATTTATATGTTGTCGTGTGTAACTAAGTGTCGAATAACGGACCAGACACAGGAAGCTTCCAAAAGTAATAATGTGGGTAGCTTAGCATTTTAGACGCAGCTTTCTGGTTTGATTTACAGCATCTTGAATGTTTCATATTGTTTAGTTTTTACTGATTTAATATTTATCTAATGAGTTTCTTATGTTAATTTGCAATTTTACTTTTTTCCATAATAATCATTTATCCAAATCTACACACAATTGTGTTTAAATTTTCTATAACTCTTTCTTTTCAGGGTGTGATGGTTGTTGGTTGCCTAGACTCTGTGCTGAATGACTCAACGATGTGGGAAACACCCGACACCTTCAACCCTGGACACTTCCTGGATGAAAATGGGAAATTTAGGAAGAGAGAGGCTTTCCTCCCCTTTTCTATCGGTTAGTTTTAAAATGATTTGTGAATGACATATTTAAAATGTCACACCTGCCTCTCTAACAAGCTACATTTTTCTCACCCTTGTTTTTTGAGACTCCTGGAAAATGTCATGTTTACTAGCCACTACACTGTCTGTTGTCAGGTAAGCGTGTGTGTCTGGGTGAACAGTTGGCTCGGATGGAGTTGTTCCTGTTCTTCTCGGGGCTCCTGCAGCGCTTCACCTTCTCTGCACCTAAGGGAGAGCCCCTCACTATGGAGGCGGACATGAGCTTTGTGCGCGCTCCAAAGCCCTACCGCCTGTGTGCCAAACTGAGATAATCTGTTTCAAAATCACCACCATGCACAGGCATTTTACTCAATCAAACTACAATCAAGACGTAAAGTGAATTTAAGAAAACCATGAGTAACTCTGAAGTAGGCCAATCCGAAACTGTCACAGGACAAATTTAGGTTGAAGCAATATCGCAATTTTAAATGTGCACATTGGTGGTAGAATGTCTTTGGATGGGAGTGTAATTTTGGAGGATTCATCAAAAAAGTATTAGTTTTTTGTGCAAGTGTGAGTGAAAATTACCATAGCAGACAATTACTGACAAGGTAAATATGTTTTCGATGATGTGATGAGGTGTAGAGCTGTGAGAAGTGTCCAAATGCACACTCCAACAGCAGAACATGTGATACTCTGACAGACCTCAGAATAGGACCTTATTTTATGTTGTTTTAGACAATAAAATAATCAATCATTTTATATATTATATATATATATATATATATATATATATATATATATATATATATATATATATATATATATATTCATACATATATGTCAACATAATCTTCTCATCAGTTTTAACCATTACTGACATAATTAGTCAAGTGTTGCAGCACACGTAACATGTAAAATATGACCAAACCTGATAAACTGTATTTTGTCTTTGACCCAAATATAAACTGCGGTTTCCTTTGAAAACATTTGAAGTATGAAATGGAAAATAAACAAATAAAATAAAAGGAAATCAGTGTCAGTGTTGTTTATTTTATAGCTCAAAAATAGATTTTGGCAGTTTTTCTGACACCAATCACATCATGAATGATGTGATTGGTGAAGCACCTTTGGCTCTGTAGTGCCCCGGGCTCCTGGCCCTAGCCGGGAATAGACTATTATCACGCTTCCGGGTTTTGTGGGCGGGGTTTATCTACTTTGTGAACTTCCACTTCCGGCGCAACAACAACAATGGCTCAAACGATGTCTAGATGTCACTGCTCTTTTTAAATTATGAAATAATCAGCAGGATCAATGCATATTCTTTGTAAATACTTTGTAATAGCTTTATAATTGGCAAAAGAAGTTACTGGGACCAGTTAAAGCTCCACAGCGGGAGCAGGACAAACGTATCAGACACAAAAAGGAGGAAAAAAGTCCGCTTCAAACAGGTGCTCTCGCTCTGTCTTTTTTATTTTCTCATAGCATCATAAAGTCCATTGAAGTCCGAAGCATCACGGTGCTTTGAGAAAACAAAGCACTGAGAAAGCCTGGTTAAAGCGGACTTTTTTTCTCCTTTACGTGCTAGCAAAAGAGACATTCGTATGCCGACGTTAGCTGACTGAAACTGAGAGGGGAACGTTCTTCCTCTCAGAATATAAATGACATGGGTGAATTTACTTAGCCTCATTTAAAAATTAATACTCTTGTTTTTGTGGGGTATGTTGGGTTAAACGCCTTATATCCATACACCAAACTGACATTAGCATAAGCTAAGCCTCCTGTTCTAAAGCATAGGCAACCCCTGCCCCGACATACAGTCACTCCAACAGACCCCCACTCCGACATAACGTCATTTCGACAACCCTCCACCTGACATGCCCCCATTCCGACACCAATGAACCAGGACTAAACCAGGACTAATCTTGAACGAGAGAGAGAAAAAGAGACAGAACCGCCATCCGGGAGGGTATTTGGCGTAAAGCTCTGTGCCATTAGAGCGCAGAGCTTTACGCACGCTGCTCTGTTGGCACGAGAGGGGGCCACATACGCCTGACCTCCTGCAGGTGAGAGCGCGTGGAGGTGCCAGGTTAACGAGTGCGTAAAAGTCCACAACTTTGAGTGCGCGCACGAGGAGAATGAGCGCTGCCGCCGCCTCTTTATAAACTTTTATGAGTTTATAAGGGGCCGACGCATTTCTGGGTCCCTGTGTAAGCCGCTCTGTCCTCTATGGCCAGGTATAATTCTAATATTCTAGCCCTTATTCATGAAAATATCCAGATTCCTAAATCATTGATCTTTTTAGTGTCTCTATCTGACTGCGAGCCCGGCACCGGTTCACTGTCGCAACGCACTGAGCTTTACAGCGCATTCTCATGCGCCCTAGTCTTTGCCAACAGGTAATGAATGTCTCCTGCTCCTGTCCATTCACAAAAATGTCCAAACTGTCACACAATTCAGTTTTTCGTAGTTTCTCTGCTTGGCCGTATCATTGTGCCTTGAGCCAAATGCGCGTCACCGCGCGCTTCCACCTGCAGTGTCAGGTAACGCCCCGTAACCTCTTCATTCATAAAGTTCCAAATTCTTACACATTGTTGACTCCTCTGCAGCGGTCGCTCTCTAGGTGCACGGGGACTCTCACCCGTGCCCTCAGCCTGTGTGGACATCTTCACAGATTTACCACCGGTAGCCCACCAAGGTAGCACAGACAGAGACAGGAGACATGCCAAACTTTTTGACAAGTAGCCACACAATGCCTGGCCGCTCTGACATGCAGAATCGTAACACAGGCGGCTTCGCCTTTATTTTATAACTGCGTAACCTTGCGCACAACAATATAGTGCCCAACATATGAAGTGGCAATCATCGCACTCTAACACCCCCACTCGATGGTGCCACGCACATTTTCTGTAAGCACTAGATACCAAACATATAAGAACAAAACTTTTCAATTTTGGCTCTTGTAGCAGATTTAGTGAACACTGTGCACTCTGCAACCATGTCCTCAGTACGACAGTACACCAAAATAACTTAACCCTGCTACACATTGGACCTGATAAAATGATATTTAATGTCCACTTGCTTGCTTCTCTGGCGGTTTACAGGATTCTTCGCTAGGTGTATAGTCCCTTGATTGTCCTCAAAAACTTTGGTAGTTGGCTCAAAGTTGGGATCCATGTCCTTTAACAGTTGTGTAAGGTAGAGTGCTTCCTGAATAGTAGCTGCTAGCGCCACATATTCAGCCTCACATGTTGACAGTGCAACAGTCTGCTGCCTCTTTGTTTTCCATGAAACAATTGCACCGTTTTTACTCAGGCTGTAGCAATAACCCATAGTGTTCTTCCTGTCTTCTGGGTCATTAGCCCAGTCTGCATCAGAATATCCAATCAGCTCAAGTTTAGTATCACATTTGTGGTAACACAGTTCATAGTCTTTAGTCCCCTGCAAGTACCTGTACACATGCTTTAATGCTGTCATGTGTCTCTCTCTGTGATCAGACATATATTGTGACAATCTACTCACAATCCAACATATATCAGGCCTAGTACAGGTCATGATGTAGATAAGGCTGCCCAACATACCCCTGTATTTTCTTTGATCTGTTTGATCCCCTTTTGGAGTCAAATCACATTTTATTTCACTCGGAGTTGCTCTGGATTTGCAATCCGACATTCCAAACCTTTCCAGAATTTTGGAAATGTACCTGGTTTGGTTCATTTTGATAGAACCCTCTTGTTGTGTGAAATCAACCCCTAAGAAATGGGTAAGTTGGCCGAGGTCTTTCATTTTGACCTTGCTTTTCAGTTTTTCCTTGACCTCTTTTAGACAAATTTCATTGTTTGCAGCCACAACTATATCATCGACCCACACGAGCAAAATTACTTTTTCACTTTCAGATAGTTTAGTGTAAATACATTGGTTGGCCTGACTTTGCACAAAGTTATTCTCCAGGAAGAAATCATGAAGCATAATGTTCCAATTCCTGCCCGACTGTTTTAACCCATACATCGATTTGTGTAACTTGCACACCAGTTGTACACCATTAGTTGGTTTAGCCTGAAAACCTTCTGGTTGTTCCATATATATTTCGCAGTCTATAGGCGCGAGCAAGTAGGCTGCCTTAACATCCATTTGATGTAGTGTCAGATCATGCTGTGCAGCCAGCTGCATCAGTACACGTAGGGAAGTCAAGTTAGCAGTTGGGGAAAATGTCTCAGAATAATCTAGTCCCTCCACCTGACTGTATCCCTTTGCTACATATCTAGCTTTGTATGTCTCATTTCCCTTGTCATCTTCTTTGAGAGCATACACCCACCTTCCCCACTGCCTGTCTACCCTCTGGTAACGGTACAAGTGAGAAGGTGTTGTTTTCCTTAAACGTAGCCATCTCATCTCTCATTGCCTTTTCCAGTTCTCAGCTAGTTGTGATGCCAGAGCCTCTTTATAAGTCTGTGGCAACCCAACTGTAGCTCGGTAACAGTAATCAATAGTTAACTCACTGCCCTGTACTGAACATTCGTAGTCCTCCAAATACTTAGGCTTCTTTCTTACTCTACCTGTAAGTAGAGTCTGTATGTCAGTCTTAGTGTCAATGTCTGGGTTTGAGTCTTGCTCATTATCTGTTCCTTCCTTGTCAGTCTGTGGCTGAGTCACTTCTGTTGGTGTAGTTATCCACTCTATGTAGTGGTCTTCTGCTTGGTCCGTGTCAGTCTGCGTCTGACTCTCAGCTACTTCTTTTGTCATGAAGTGAACCAGCCTGTGTTTTTGAACCTTGCTTGTTTCTGCAAAATAAACCATATGAGCTGGTGAATGACGATCAAAACCAACAAAGATTCCCTTTTTGCATTTTGGATCTAGCTTTCTTGTGTTTTGTTCATACACTCTGAACCAAACTATTTCATTTTTGACAAATCTGGTCTCTTGCCAGTGAAAAGGAAATAAGGCGTTTCCCCTGTTCTCTTACAGTAACACCTGTTTCTTATGACTGCAGCTGTCCTTGCTGCATGAGGCCACAGCTCTTTAGGTTAACCTGACTCTATTAGCATGCAGCGCACCATTTCAAACGGAGTGCGCCAGTTCCTCTCTGCAGTCCCGTTTTGATGAGGAGAGTAGGGTGCTGACCTCTCATGCTTAATAGCATTGTCCCTTAGTAATGACTGGTACTCCTCAGATACAAACTCTGTACCATTGTCAGATCGCAACCGTTTAACTTTACCGTATGGCACTATGTCTGCCAGGAACTGCTTGGTTGCCTCAACTGCTTTGTTTTTATTCCTGAGGAAGTACACATAAATAGCACCAGAAAAATCATCAATGAAAGTGATGGCATATTTGTACCCTTCTAGTTACTCTGGGGAAATAGGCCCACCCAGGTCTGTGTGTATGAGCTCTAAAGGGCTTTGGCTCTTACATCTGCCTCCCTATTTCTGTTTTGAGTAAATTTGCCCTGCAGACATGTTTCTCATTGGTTTGGCTTACACTTTTTATCTTTGATTTTCATGCCATTCACAACATTTTCAAGTTTTACTATGTCACCATAGTTGCAATGACCCATTATTTCATGCCAAGTTTTCAGATCAAAACATGCATTACAAGAATCATCACTGTTCTCTTTCACAATGTCCAAATAGTACAGTCTGTCTTTTACCTTCATTTTACATGTAGTACCATCAGGAAGGATCATCTTGTTGTTGTTCTTTTCAAAGTTGAATTTTGCTCCTTTTGAAGCTGCTGCCTCCACAGACAGG